TTTAAATATATTATTTATTTGTTTATGTTTGTTTGTTTGTTTTTTGCAAGTGCCATTTCAACACCAGTTTGGATCCAGTGCTTTCTCTATCATGCCTATTATTTGAGGGAGCATTGACGTACCATTTAGTATACTTGTCACAGAAATTTTCCTTTCAGCACTTATCTAAGATGTGCAAGTTAAGACTTAATTGCCCTTTAGAATGATTAGTTACATGTCTACTTCTTTCTTTTAGCAATATTAATTTTACAAGCTAATTTTATTACCTGCTCACTACTTCAGGTACAAAGCTGTTATTCCTTGTCCAGACAGTCTCTCTTCAGCTCTCAGGAGGAAGTCATAAACCAAACACTGAGAATTGAAATTGATTCACGTTCATTTATGATTTTATTTAAAGCATCAGTGGGTTAACTAGCACTCTTATCTAAACTGTTTTGTAACTGTACCCTAATTGTGCCTAAAGTTGGGCACTCCAGAATATTTCACATAATTATTTACAGAAAATAGCTGGTGAAAGTGGGTGGAGCACTTTGTAAACACAGTAATATCAATGGTTTCTCATTACAATGTCCCAGGTATGTTAATTAATCTTTGATTGATTCATTCACTTATTAAACGAACATTTATCGAGTACCATCTCCTTTGCTGAGTACAGAGTATATATACGGCAAGACAAAGTCATGCCCTCATCAAGTTAATGGAGTTGTCAAACAATAATCAAGTAAGCAAATGAAATAAAATGTAATCAGTGTGGGGTTAAAATAAAGTGACATAATAAGCAATAAAGAAGGATGGCCAACTTTCCTTTTAGTTGTTAAGAAAAGACTTCTCTTAAGAAGTCATATTTAAACATGTTCCTGAAGGTTAAAAATGAGCCAGGCATGTAAAGAGCAGGGGAATTATCAATAGAATTCCAAGCAGAGGAGATGGCAAAGGTAAAACTCTCTGAGACAGGAAAGGACTCCTGTTTCCTGTCTGTTAACTGGGAACATAAAAATGTCTTTCTGTCTACGACATGACTCAGTCTGGGTTGGATATGTATAGCAGGCAAGGAAGGAAAAAATGAAGTCTTTTTCTTTGCATTTAGAAAGTAAAATGGATTGGCAACAGAAAGCAGATGTGGATGTTTCAGAATGAGAAAACTATGTAAAGAAAAACACTAAGGCACGCAAAACTTGAATAAATGCTTCAGGCCATCAAAACTTAAAGACTGGAGAAGGGTCCAGTCAGCTGTGCAGCTGGACACAGTGGGACCCACATGAGAAGGTCCTGGGAGCTTGTCCTAGGACCTCCTCCACCTACCAGGCAGTGCGCCCATGATCCAGGCCAGTTGAGACTGAAGGTAGATTTTGGCAGGAAGACCTATTGGGGATAGATCTTTCTCTCTCACTCTCTCTCTCTCAGAAGAAATAAGTAAATACATTTTAAAAAGAAGAAACTGAAGCCAGGATGGTCATTCAGGAAACAGAAAACAATAGATAGGCCTGATCACAGATGTGGAAAAGTCAAAAGAGCAATTTGGATATGTTATTTTTGACAATGGAGGCAATCATGGTTTCTTGAACTAGAAATTTGTCTGATACAAAGAGAAAATTGGTAATGTAGAGTCAAATTAATGGCAATAAAAGGAAAAATGATGGAAAACTAGGTAGAGGGAGCTTCTGTTTTTATCTTGCATTTTATTGTATCTGGCTATGAGAACATGGCCCATTCTCGGATCAGGGAATGAGCTGTATACAAGACATTTCAGAAGGATCAACAATGATGCTTGGGACTGAATAGCAATAAATCAAAAGTCAAGAAGCCTTCTCTCTTGAGTCCAAGGGTCTGACTGACTAATAATGTCAGTGATGGAACTGGGGAAGTTTGCCTGGGATATTAAATGATTGATTCTGAGTTGAACATGATAAATTTCAGATGATAAGATACTCGAATTGTGATGTGTGCATCCAGATGGAAATACAAAAGTGGAGTTAGAATGGAAAGTTGGATTCAAATATGGAAATATGAGGGCTCTTTGAAAAACTTGTGGGAAATCTGTATTGGGGGAAATATCGATTTCAAAATTTTTTGTACTGAAATAAACTAGTACTTTAATGCTGTATTTCCACAAACTTTTAAAAGTACTCTCCTGTGTGATGAGAACTGAGGGCCTTAGCTATGGAGAATGAATACTTGTGATTAAGGGTGTATATGTATTGGGGGAGAGGAATAACTCATGCAGAGAGAGCAAGAATAAAAATATGAACCCAAGTGGGTAGAAGGAACCATAAGAGCAGCTACGTAAGAAGAATTTTAGACAATAAGTAGGGGAAATACTACTATCCTTATTACCTTTAAAACTACAACCAGGGGGCCAGCAGGTAGCATAATGGTTAAGGTACTGGACTTCCACATAGTTGACTATGGTTCAAATCCCAGACCCTGTAGCTTGAAATGCACACCTGGTGCATGTGCATGCATGCCCAAAATCCCAAGAGAAAAGTGGAAGAGAAGGAATTGTGACATGGCCAATAACCCTGGGGGTTGATTTTTTGCTTTCTGTCTGTCTGGTGAGTGCACACAAAAATATCTAAAAATATATATAAAGAAATAAAATCTACAACTAACTTATAGAGTTATTTGTATGTGCCTTAAGGTCTTTAAATACAATAACTTACTGGGACAGCCTCATAGCCTGGGGGTTAAGGGAGCTAGATTTCACATGGCCAACTGAAGTTCAAGTCCCAACCTAGCAGCTTAAAAACACAACAGTTACATGTATGTACATGTCCAGAATCCCAACACAGTGGATAAATGGAGAAGGGATGGGGGCATGTCATACCCTGTTGTGCAATGCTTTCTCTCACTCATTTGTTTATGCTCTCTTTATTTCTTGGGCAAGCACACACACACTCTAACAATAAAAAGGGGAGGGGAACATATTTCTGCTCAAATATTTAATAATGAAATGCTCCTGTTACTTCCATCTTATAGATGAAGAAGTCTAGATTAATCAGCTTGCCTGAGATTACCTAATTTGAAGAAGTAGAGCTAAGATTCAAACACATGCATTGTGCCTTCAAAGCCGGAACCCTTAACTCTCATGCCATATGGTTATATCCAAGATGGTCTTTTAATTATATAGTTTGACTTCTATCTCATGTAAGTTTCTTGGAAAAGAGTTAATTAACAGTTTAAAAAGTTGGGTGGAAACCAGAATGTCAACAGATGGCTAGGCAGTGATTGGATAAATCTTTAGAGCAGAACACAACCTGGTATTCTCTACGGTAAGACAAAGAAAGGGAAGGGAGAATATACTCTTTGATTTATTTTTTTTTTCTTTCTCTTGTCCTTTCATACACTGTTAGTTGTTAAAACAGTTTCATTCTCTTTGACCAGAGCTATAGAAATAATTTGTGGAAAAAAAATGACACCTCTGTTTTTGAGCACATCCTATATACTATAAATGTATGTGTCTTTACTTGTATAAAAAGAATGTACATTTATGAAAATTATTGTCAAAGTTTTATACGGAAATTTATTTTCCTCTTAACTTTCATTACTGAATGAGAACTAGATCCTAAAAGCGTAGGGTTTGGCAATAGCCTCAACATTGGTATTGCTGGATTACGTTTGGTCTAGGAGACCAAGTACCTAGATTTCTCTGTGGGGAATATCAGGGCTTAGCACAGGAGATGTGGACAGCACCTCATCCATCTGGAGAAGCCACACCCAATTTCTTTGACAAATGTCCTAATGAATGTTTCCCCAGTGGCTGAGAGGACTTTGCTCCTGACATGCTTTCCTTGTGCCTACCTTATTTCTCCCTTGTTTGAGGGAGAGATGGAGGGAAATAGACCCCTATGCTCAGTCACACATTTCAAGGGGAAGCGACAAGACACCTGCTTGGTGCCACAGTTGCAGCAGAGAAAGCTGCAGCCATCCTTCCTTCAATGAATGAAGTAGGACTTTACTTTGTACCAAAAACCATGACTGTTGTCATCTAATTGATCTTCCTAAAGCATGGTTCTGCTCAATTGAATTGGCTGTTCAAAAACTTTTATTTTCCAATTTTAACACAATAAGATTCTAAGCCTTGCATTTATGACTGTTCCATGATGCAGCCCATGCTAAGCATGGCTGGCCTTATTTACCAGTATCCCCCTTTCTTATCAGACACACTGCCCTGCTCCCTGCTCATTCACTTGTCTCCATTTGTGCTTACACTTACACTGATCCCTCAGGGATGCTGCCTCATCTTCCCACTCCTCACTACCACTCTACTCATATTAACCCGTTAAATACTGCATACAGTCCTCTTCTAAATGCAGTCTCTACTACATAGCCTTACTGAACTCATCTGAATACTTGCAGGATTTTTGTCTCCAACTCTCATTGTATTTGTGTTCCAGATATTGATGTGGATATATGCACATATATTATCTTCCCTACTAAACTCTGGGCAGAATCTATACCTAATTTAACTGTAGTTTCCATATCACCCACACTTGATATGAGAGAAAGCTAAAGCTACAAGAAACTGAGAGGGCATATAGATTACTGGTAATAATAAGTCTTTAAACTACTCTCTTGATGCCCTAGTAAATAGCTATGCTGAAGGTGGGACAAATCAAATCTCCTAATTCTCAGTCCAGGACTTATTCTCGGACCACAGGGGTCTTCCCCTGAGTTTGCCCATTAAAATCATCTGGCACTGTCTAGGATGCTTTAGAATCCTGCTCCAGGAGCCTCAAATTATAGTGGTGAGATTCTCAGTGGGACCCTACACATCAGCAGTGTTAAACTCTCCCATTATATTCTAATGTGCAGTCAAGATTGGAAATAAGCAGCCTACATCATGATGGCCCTGGACAGCCTTGTTTTACTAGGTAATTCTATTAATTCAAGCAACTTTTATTTTTCAGATAAAATTTTAAAGTAGGAAAGTGCCTAGTATGAGATGAAGTAACAGTTATTTTGCTTGCAACACTAGCTAACTTAACTGTTTGACTTTTCAGATTTTTCTAAAGAAAGCAGTGGAACTTGGGATAAAATTGCTGCCTGCATTTCATACTCCATCTGGAATACCTTGGGCATTGCTGAATATGAAAAGGTAAAACTCCTCATTTTCAGTGTCATATTTTAAGTTGAAGTATTCAATATTGTGTCCTTATTAGCACACTAGATGGATAATTATTTGTATGATGCCAGTGACTTAACTGACCTCATTGGAAGTCCTCGGATCTATCCCTGTATTAGAAGCTATTCAGTTTTTCAGTATTCCATAGCCTCAAATGGGTCCCTGTCATGGGATAGCACGATCCCAATAGAGCCACACAAGCCAATTATGATTTGAGGTTTTTGCTATTTCAATGATGACATCATATCCGTAACATTCTTCTCTCCACAAATAACAAGAGCATCTCATTAACTTTTATGTTGTCATCAAAGTGGTCACTTCCACAGAAGCAAATTCCTAAGGACAATTTCTTCTCTTTAGTTGCCAGAGATGTTGCAGAGGTACAATGCATGGACTAATCAGATCTCCCGTATCAGGATTTGGTGTAACTGAAACTGAGTGCCCCTATCTCACCCCAGCCCACCACTGCAAGGAGGGAAAAGATCTCATCTACTCACCCAGATCAATTCAACTTTCTCAGCCCACTTAGGTAGAGAACCCTGGTATACCAAGTCCATGAGAATATGACCTCAAGAGAAAAAAATCTGTGCTGCACAGACTTTCTGCTGTTCTCCCAGAGAGCAGTTTGAATTTTCCTAATAGCTTAAGCATTTCATTAATAAATAAGTTTGCCTTAAGTGTGTTTCTAAATTCCTTTCTTCCCGTAAGTTAGTAACTGCTTCATGCTTGTTTGTGATAATGATGATGACAGTGATCATCGTAAATGTGATAGGCTCTTTACCTGTGTTATCACATATAATCCTCACAACCAGTAAGGTCAATACTGTTGTTATTTTCATTTTAGATTGGGAAACTTGGGTCATGGAGAGATTAAGTAGTTTAATACCATACAGTAAGTAAATGGTAGACCTAGGATTTATATACTTAGATGTTTATACAGGCATTGATACATATGCACAAACAAAACGCTGTTCTCATTTTAGAAACACCAAGAGAATGCACAGGCTGTTTTGGAGATTAATACACATTTCTTCTTACTAATTTTAGTGACATTCTGACCTAAAGCTGATCATAAAAAAATCATGAAATTAATTATTGATTTTCTTAATGAACAAATCCATGAAATGTCATGCTTTGTTTTCATTTGTATGTTATATAATCTATACTTCGAAACATCCTGTACCTGTTGATGGGGTGTGGTGTGTGTGTGTGTGTGTGTGTGTGTGTGTGTTCATTGGCAGTGGAGACAATGAAGAGTGTTGAGACAATGAGATGAGGAGAGCCCATTACCATTGGGCCATGTTAAACTGAAGTAGTTCTCTGTTGAATGATGTGATGTCTCAAGATGTGTTTTTCCCTGAGGGGTCTTTAATCTTTCTTTAGCAGCTTGAAAACATGGAATCTGTTACAGGGTTTTAAGGATGGGGTGGATCTGAATTTGGATTGAAGAAAGCTTGGTGTTTGTTTAAAGGGCCATGAACCTTTTATTTTCTTGTTAACCTTCTATATTATCTTTCATATCTAGAGACTTTGTATTTATAGATAGTATTCTGATCAACACATTACTTTCTTACCTAAAAATAGTCTGGTTACAAAAACACTGTACACAATTAACCCGTGTTTCTCCTACCTGCCCTCTGAGGAAAATGCTATGGGCAGGTAGTACCCTAGACTAATTGGTTATCAAGAAACCTGGTTCTAGGTCTTTTGCAGCTATTCTAAGTTTGTCTTTGGGGCAATCATTTAATCTTACTAGGTGTATTCGTAAACCAGAAGTTAGGCTAGTTCAGTAGATTTTTGTGTGAACGTTTTCAAGCTCAAGAACACTTTGAGATTCTGGGAACCAGCAGTTAGCGTAATGGCTATATCGCTGGACTCCCACGTAGTTGACCGTGGTTCACGTCCCGGACCCGGTGGCTTAAAACTCACGCCAGGTGCGTATGCGTGCGTGCCCAAGATCCCGAGAAGAGAATGGAGGAGAAGGGATTGCAACGTGACCATCCCCCCTGGAGGGTGATTTCTCGCTTTCTGTCTCTATGTCTCTCTCTTTCTGTCTGGCGAGCGCACACACCCTATAGCGAAAATCTCTCTAAATAAATAAATAAACAAATAAATAAATAAATAAATAAATAAATAAAATGTAAAAAAATAAAATAAAAAGAACACTTTGAGATTCAGATGAAACATGGTCCCATCATCATATGTATTATACCCTGAGTACTAGACTTTTACAAAATTTCCAAAAGCTGGAACTACTATAAGAGGCTACTTGGGACCTCTGAAATCTAGGTTTAAAGTACTGGAGTAGATCCAGTCTTGGATTCTAAAATTCTATGGAGGTAATTCCACTTGCATCATGGAAGGTAATTAGTTGGATAAAGGCCTACTAAAACTAACAGAGAGGGGTGTGGACCTCCATCTTTGCAAAAGTTGAGTCAATGATTAAGATGCTGCTATCATTTAGTTGGCCTCTCTTGAAATAAGCATAAGAAATCAGGGGGTTTTTTGAAGTATATTTAACTTAGTGTTTATTTCTAATAGCCAAGTGGATTTTTTCTTTGTTAAGTCTATCTTTAGTGTACCATGGAGATATTTTTTAGTACTTAGCTATTAAATACTGGCTCCACTATCATCTTTTATATCTATGCCTGTCAATAATTCATTAGCGGGAGCATTCTAATTTGTTTGTACAGTATTTTATATTAGAACTTTCTTTCATTTCAAAGATTACAGGAAAATTGTATATAGTGAGAAATAATGTCTCATTTTCATTTATGTATTCTCTGATGCTTTCAGGTCGAACTAGAGGAAATTAGTTAACCATTTGGCGACTGATAGAAACACTTTTCATTTCTTCCTGGGAATGTGCATGAATCTTTTTATTATATATTTTGACTACACTCAATCACATTTACTACATAGCAGTGACTTGCCCAGATTTACACAATAGGCATTGGCAAAATTAATAGTATTATCAGTCTGCTAAAATTTCTTCTGTGCCTTTGCCTAATCAAGTACATTCATTGAATTTACTCTCCTTCCAACTGTGAAGCTGATTTGCCATCTTAAAAAGCTCCTTGGAGAGAAAGAAAAATGACATTGTATATTTACATTACATTATTACAATATTACATTAGAGAATATGCTGTTGATGTCACCTTTACATGCATGCTGTTCTTTCTGAATATCTATATTTTCAATGGATGGGCTAAGGGATAAGGAACAGCTGGCAAGGAGCTTCTTTTTGAGTTTTTTTGAAGACTGTCACTAGCAGAAATTTTAAAGGAGAGAGGAAAAATATGTCTACCAAAATCATATTTTCTTAATTACTTTTCTTAGAATAAGGGAATGCTTGTAGAAAAATGCCCACAGGGGAAAAAGTGCTTGAGGATACTTTTTAGAATAGCTATGTGTATTCACTGTTGACTGACTTTAAAACTCGGCAAGAATTATGACTGAAGAGGCATTGAATACCCTGGCTATAATAATACAATTCTGTTCTTCCCTTTCAATTTGAAAGTAGTTATGAATGCTCCCCTTTGTCAGCATCTATATGGTAACAAAAACATGAACTTATTGGTATTATCTGTTCGATTTCCTCTAGTACTCAGGTTATTAACTAAAGATAATTGGTTTTCTTACCTTTTCTTTATCAAAAATAAGCATTTACTTGAAACTGTGTTATGATAAGGTTCTGTACTAAGTCCTATGAAGATTTTCTACTTCTCTTCATTTTATTCAAGAAGATAACAGACATGTTTTTTCCTGCAGGGGATTCATAACCTGGTTGGTAAAGAAGAATATATATTTTATATGTTATATTATACAGTCACACACAAAATTGACAAATGTAAGATAGTCTGTACCAAGGAGGGATAATAAGTAGTCACCTGGTTGAATTTAAAGCAAGCAGTATTTTGAATTGGAAAGATTTATGTATTCAGAGCCAAAATACCAATAAGCCAAATTGGATTTTAGTATTTGTGCAAGCTGAAAATATGTGGAGAACCTAAATAATTTATTCACATGCTACATTAGAAACTCTGTCCCAAAATCTGTTCAGAAAAAAAAAATTAAAATGGTCTCTTCTCCTCTCTCTCTTCCTCTCTCTTTCTCTCTCTCTCTCTCCCCCTCTCTATACAGACACACACACACACACACACATAACAAATCTGAAATTCTTAATATAAGAGCTGCCACATGAAGTTATAATTTAATTGCAATTGTGGTTTAATATTAAGTAATCATTTGAATAAACAACCATCTAGGTGTGTTTACACAGTGTCTGACTAGACTATCATACTTGCTTCATGAACACTATTATAGAATGAGGGTGCTTAAGTCACATAACACCTCTGCTATAAGAAAACCATTGCCTTTCTAATAGATGAGATTTGGTAGAACTCAATTTCTCTAATGTGAAAATGTCAAAGTTTGATGTCTGGTCTTGTCATTACTATTAGCCAGAGACCCTATCCGTTTTTCCCTCTAACCTGCAGCAGAAAGATCCACCCCTGTGCTTTGTAAAATCAAGCATTTCACCATTTCCATATTTCTAAGCATAATTCAAGGTAGGTAGAGGAGACTTATTAGATTTTTGGTTTCCTAAAGTGTGTTCTTAATTTAAAATAATGTAGTTAATGTTCCCATTATTCATTTCTATCACAGGGCATACAGTCTGGGCATTCCTAATAATTATTCTGTCTTTCTTGATAAATGAGTTAGTTTATAGCTATGTACTATTTTATCACTTGTTTCTCTTTGTGGATTTTTCTAAATTGACACTTGTCCTGTGGTTATATTAAGTTAGTGGAACTGTCTACACTGCGTGCTGCTGTCACACACTGTCGACGGATGTGCTGGGAAATGACTAATCTCCATTCAGGCTCTCATTACTCAGCAAAGTGATGAATGAAGCACAGTTCATTCACCTGTTTTTATTTCCTTCTATGTAAAGTTTTATTTATTTACTA